GGGCGCAGGAGGCGGCAGCTGCGCCCAGAGCCCGCGGGCCCGTCGCCCAGCCCCATGCCGGCAGCCACCGCGGCCCTCAGCCCTGTGCACGGACGCGCAGGAGACATCCGCCGCGGCCCGCTTCCGGGAGGAAGTGACGCATCCGCCCGGCTTCCGGCCGGGGAGGCACGGCCCCACCTCCGCTCGGGACAGCTTAAAGGGACCGCGACCCCCAAGAGGCTTGAAGGAGACCGGTGGGGACGGGGCGGGGCGCAGCTTGGCGGAGCCGTCGCACGGCGTCGGGGCGGGGGCGGCCGGCAGGGGGGGCGGTGGTCGGGCCGCGCGGGCGGAGATGGAGTGGGGCCCGGGCTCAGACTGGTCTCGGGGGTGAGAGCGGGCCCGTGGGGCGGGGGGCTTGGGCCGTGGGCCCGCGGAGCGCCGGGCCTGACGCGGTGTCTCGCTCTCTCCCGGACAGGGAGGCTGCCGGCGTGGACCGCGGGAAGGCGGGGCTGGGGCTCGGCGGGAGGCCACCCCCGCAGCCGCCCCGGGATGAGCGCGCCCAGCAGTTGCTGGACGCGGTGGAACAGCGGCAGCGGCAGCTCCTGGACACCATCGCCGCCTGCGAGGAGATGCTGCGGCAGCTGGGCCGCCGGCGCCCGGAGCCGGCTGGTGGTGGGGTCAGTGCCACCCTGGGCTGGGCCCGGCAGGGTGGGGTCTGACGGTGCTGGCCCAGCCCTCCCTCCCCCTGGGGGAGGCGGGCGGAAGAGCATCCCACCGCTTTACCCTTAACCTCCTTCCATCTGGGCGAGAGAGGTTTTGAAAAAGTTAAGTACTACCTAGATGCCAAGTAGCCGAATGCTTGTGGGGCCTAACCTAAGGCCTTTCCTTCCAGGCTCATGTTTTCCCTTTCTGTTCCAACTAGACCGTTTCAGCTAAACCCGGAGCACCGCCCCAGCCTGCGGTGTCCGCCAGAGCTGGCCTTCCAAAGGATGCTGGAGAGGGAGCTGCGGAACCTTGATCATTCTCTAGCTGGGCACCCTGACTTCTTTCCAGGGCTGGTGGCTGGACTCTGACCAGCTCCTTTCAGTAAAGGGGCCAGTCTTCACTGGCAGTGGCTGGTACTTGGCCTTCAGCCTGGGATGGCAGCTCTGCTAGCAGCCGGGTGCACTCCCACTTCGTCCTGGCTGAAGGCAGTACTGTGTTTTGAAATGTAGCCAACGAATACCCAGTCTGAGTACTCGGATTCGGGCAGGCCAGCAGTGCTGGCCGGAGTGGTCTGGCCTGCTTTGGGGGTTCCAGGTGGTATTTACATGTTTATTTCATGCTGTGGGGGGCTCACAGCCCCCCCAGAACACCTTGAGCAGAACCTTGATTAAAAGGAAACCTGCAGACTCTCCTGGTGACCGACCTTTCCTTTCTGTCCCCTCTCCAAGACTGATGGCTGGGCAGGAGAGAGTGGTGGGATGTCAACCAGGGGGAAGGGATGGGAAGTAATGCCACAGATAACTACCAGATTTAAATAAGCATTTAATTAAGATTTCATTAGTATTTAATATTGCTTTTTCAATTCCAAAAAGTTAAATTTTCACTTTGTAGCAGATATTTTAAAGTACAATATTAAGTTTATACAAAATGAGCAATTAAGCAAACACCATTTCACATTCTTCAAAAATACAAATTCGTATTTATTCTTTTTGGGTTTGGAGGTTTCTTCCTTTGGAAGTACTGAATCTGTAACGTTTTCATATCGCTCAGTGGAAGTCCGTTGTTCCCATGTTTTACACAAAATAAATTTGATAGACTTTTACATAATCCAAATAAAACTATTTGGGACTTAAAAACCAAGGCCACTGGCCAACGATTACTGTGTGTTAGAAAAGAAGACTCTTGTGACCTTTTCTGGCTAGATGATCTGAGCCAGCAGAAACCTGTTTGCAGCTACCTTGAACTCAAACTCCAACCCCATTTTCTCCAAAACACAACAAAAGATGTAGACTGTTAAGTTAAACACTCAGGAGGCCTCAACACACAGGGGAAATGGCAAAAGCAGCCTCTGACTTGGCACGACGACAGGGCAACAAGGATATTGCAAACCCTCCCCCTGGGATTTTGGTGGAAAAAGTTTTAGGAAAAATTTTTTCCATAAGAAAAAGTAGAAACTGCACTGAGCTGGGAAAGTGACAGGACATTATCACCCATTTTTGCCTGGCAGCCACACCACCAAAGGAGCAGTGTATGGTTCGAAGCTTCACTTCCAGTAAAAAAGCTTGTACTGTACACACCTTAACAGATCCAGTTTAACTTGCATTTTGAGTGCAGACTGAGAAGCCCTCTCTCCGCTGGGAGTAACAGTGAGAAATGCCCAGGCTGATGAGAAACAGGACCCTTCTCTCTTTGCCAAGAATATGCTAGAAATGAGCCAGAGACTGACCAATCAGAAACAGGCATCATTTGGTTTTGTTGCTGACCACCCCCTATCCCAAATGTTTAGGAATGGACGGACATCGCCCATCTGTGTCACAGTGGAAAGAACCACTTGCATACTACATCTGTGAACATCTTTTTGCTTTGGCTACAGAATATTTAAAATGCCTCTAGTCTACAGCCTGGGAACTGATGATCAAGTGGGAGCCAGTGAGGGAGAAGAACGTTGGTAAAGCAGATTATTGTCGGCTTTGTTACTGGATTCATGAAGCCTGGAAGTCTTTTTGCTTAGAACTAACACAGGTGGTGTGAAAGCAGTACAGAAATGGCTTGAGTTTGCCTCCCAACATATTTCTGATTGGTGATGTAAGAAAATTGTGAACTCATGAACAATAGTGGGTGCCGTTGCATAAATCCATGGTTTTGGTGATATTGGAGAATTCTTTATGTTCAAGAGATGTGATCACAAATATGAAAGTCTAGAAGGTGCCAGGTTTCTACCTAGAACAACCTGTTCCTTTAGGGAATTATTTTGTCGTGGTGAAGAGGGGAAAGATGGCAAGGGACCAAGAGGTGAAAAGGGGCCTCAACAGAAGAAAACAGCTGCAGCAGTTCCTCCGGGAGCCTGAGGGGGCGCCCGGGGCACACAGGGAAGGCTTGCATAGATTGAGCAGCTGCGGAGAATGCACAATAGTGTTTCCCTATGGTCAACTTCAGCACAGTGCTGATGGAGCAGAAAAACGGCCAGGCCAGGGCCACATGGGACAACGACTGTCAAGCTACCCACGTATTGCACCAAAACAAGTGCTTCTTTTCACACCTCAATTTAACTTTTTATTCTGAGCAAAAAATAAAACTTTGTAGAAAGTGTATACACACACACACACACACACACAAACACAACAGAAATTGCAGCAATTGGGTTAAAGATAAAGTAACCTAAAGTGCTTTTTATTTTATTATTTCTTTAATATACCATATGAGGTTCTGCAAATTTGTCCCTCTGGACACATTCAGCATCATACAAAGCTTCAGGAAACCCATCTACCTTCCATCATCCATCAGTCCACTGCCTTGACCTGAAAATAACCCTCTCCCATCTATTGACTCTCCTAGAAGGGAAGAATAGCCCCTGGCATTCTACCCAGAGAAGTCTTTGTAATTCAGGGTCTTTCCTGGGTATTGAACTATGATCTACTAAAGGGGGTTGAGATTCAATAAATGACACTTCTACCACCAAACTAGTGATGCCCCCATGAGACTGGCCAGACCCTGTCAAGGACTACTGGGCTACTTTCCCTCAATGCTCTCCCACCTGCCTGGGAAAGGCAAGTTGCCTTACCACTTCCTAAGCCCGTGAGCTCCACTCCTTGTTACTGACTAGCTTCTTGGAAGAGGCTAAACTGATGCTAATGGGAGCCGCCCAAGTACAGGTCTATAGAGTGACAACAGTTAAGGTAGCCATAGGAAGAAGGCTTAAGACCACTTGCTAGAATTCACCCTTACCCTCATTTCCTTGGGAAACCACTGTCCCATGAAGACTCCAATTTAGCCAGGGGCTCCCTCTTCTCCAACGTCCTTGGCACTAGAGGCCAGACTTGTGAGAGGAGGATGGGAGGGAAGGAGCTGACAGAGCATGGCAGAAGAGTCTCCCTACCCTGTGGAATACACCTAACTTTGCACAACCACTCTCATTTGAAGCACATTCCTCACTTTCCAAAAGCTAATTGGATTGATAGTCTCTCTTGTAGCGTGAACTCACAAAGGCAAATACTTCAACTTCTTCCATCTAGAAAAATTTTAGCCTAAACAGTTTAAAACGCTTCTTTACCACCCCCCAATCTGTGGAGAGGGAAAAGCCAATGACCCAGGAAGGGACCATTAAGAGCACAGCCCTAGCTAACCAAGAAACAATATTTAAACCATTTAAACATTCCACACATCTTCCCTGGGCTCCTATTTCCAGGGAACCAGAATCCCAGGTCATGAGAGGCAGAAGGAAGGTCATTACTACCCTCTGATGCAAGCTTATTTTGGGAGTCCTGTCCACTGCTCTTCTCAGAGGTTGTAAAGAAAACAGCGAGTGCAAGGCCTGGACAGAACCAAGGACAACCTGTGCCCAGCAGCTGGTTTCCCAGGAAGATTAACCACTGTGGTAACAGAATTCTTCCTACCTTACTGACTTCTGCCAAGGCCAATGACCAGCCTTTTGGGGGAGGGAAATGTAGAAGGTCAAAAAGAAACCCATTCTCCTGGCCAACTCCAGGAACAAAAAAATCAACTGCTTGTCCCTGAGCCCATTTCTCCTCATGGCAGGGACAGCAATGCCACCACTACCCTCTAATCCAACTGTCCCTGAGCATCTTCTCTAAAGGTGGGGCCTTTTCCGGGGCTACTATCTTGGCTACCTCTGAGGAATGGCTCAGACAGCAGGAGTGCAACCAACGAAGATCTCTGGCTGCCTTGATTGAGGACCCAACCCTGCTTGCAGGAGGCAGAGGCCTACTCCACACCCCAGGCCACAACTAGCTTCTGATCTTGCCAAGCACTCATGACTACATTAAACAGCCAAAGGATAGCAACTTCCATTCATGTATTTATGTCTGGAGGCAGCTTGGAGCCAAAGGCAGGCAGATGGACACAGGTCTATACACAAATCAAGGAAAAAAAAAAAAAAAACTTCCTACAACACAACTTAAAGAAATATTCCAAATGAGATAACTTATTGCAACATTTCAGGCTTTTTGGTGGAAGGGGAATTTTTTTTTGTTTTACCCTGAGTAGAAGATCACCATTTTGTGTTTTTTGAAAAATCACATGACTAAGCTGACCAAATCACATCCTTATTTGCACTGTATGAGGCTGTATGCAAAATCCAGAAGTGAGGGGTGGAGATGGGAGAGGGCAACCAAAAGCCTGGCCAGAAGGGGCACCAGAATGCCTGGACCCAGCTGCTAGCTCACCCAAACTCCTCTGGCCTACACCGTCTCAGAAGCGGATTGCAGCCTTCTGCTGAGAAGCAGATGCCATCAAAAGAGAGAAACCCTGGCAGTCACTGGCCACAAGCTTTGTGTTCTTTAGGCTAAAACTGGGGTGCTCCCCAGGAAAGATGCACTGAGAACGGCAAGCCCTGGCAAACAACTGAGACGGAAAGAACCAGGAGGGCAAAAGACTGGTGGCATTGCTACAGCTTGCTCTGCAAACACAGCATTGACAGAGAGCTGCCAACAATTTGCCCCAGAGCCTTGCAGAACCGTGTCATTCGCCACGGCCAGGAGGACAAGGCTAAAGCTGCCCATTTATATTGAGTGTGCTGCAGGACAACTCCCTTGGCATCCACTCCAAGCTTCACTGACACAAAGCACCAACAACAAAGTCATCTCACCCAAACCCTGTCCAATCAACTCTCACCTCCCTTGCCACTACCCAGTGTCTGGCCTTCCAGACAAGTATCTGCCTCAGATTCAAAAAGACACGAAGGGGCAACACCCAACACACTGAACCTGCTGCCCAATCCACAATGACCCCAGTGCAAATGATGGGCAGTACCAAATTGACGGAAACCACACCCTTTCATTTAGAACTTTTATGCATACGAGTAACCTTAATTTCCAAGTTCACATAACAATAAGCAAAAGTGACATACAGTGCAGCCAAACAGTTCACTTATAACTTAGCTTTTTTTGTTTGTTTGTTTGTTTTTTCCTCCAAAGATCAGTTCCCTAAAATGGATGTTCCTGGGATGTGAATAAAGAAAATAGGTCTGAAAGGTGAGGCTTTCAGACAGCAGATTTCTTCATCCTTCCAATTTCTGACCCATGATGGCAGCATCACACCCGGTGCTTCCTGCTCACCCTCTTCCTGGAGGTGAGTGCACATAGGCCCTTCCCCTGGAGAAGCTGCTGGTCAGGCCTGTCTCCTCCTCCCCTGCAGTAGTGCTTCACTGTGAACTGGATGGGACGTGGGTGTCCAGGCTCTGGAGGGACAGGAACTCTGACACATCCATGGCACTTATCGTTTCTCAGGATCTGGGGAGCCTTGGCCTATCTGCTCTGCTCACAGAAAGAGGGTCCAGTGAAGGATGATGACAGGATAGGGGTGAGGGAGAAGTCTAGGGTGGCAGGTGCAGGCTGGGCCCATCAGGAGGCTGGGGATTCAGCTCTGGAGGGGGTGGGGAAGAACAGCCCTTTCTCCGACTGGACGTCCGCTCCTTTGCAGAGTCCCGGCACGCACACTGACACTGACAAGCCTCCTCTTGTTTGATGATGATCACAGGAACACTGAGGCCAATCTGCTGGACAGAGCTCCCTGTGAGAGAGGTGAGAGAGACTGCTCTTCAAGTGGCCAGGAGCAGAGGTGTGAGAGGCAAGGGGATATGAACTTGGGGGCACTGAGTGCCAGGGAGGCAGGCATGGTGAGAAGGACAGATGCCAAGCTTTGTGTTTTACTATTCTTTAAACTGGACCAGGTTTTCTCTCCGGAGAAATCCCTCCAAGGATTTCAATCCCTCCAAGACGGTGCCCCTTCCTTAAGGGAGCCACTCACAATCTAGATGCACCCTGTCCCTTTCTGCCGTCCATCTGTACTGGACATGACAGACACCTCCCTTCTCATGATACCTTCATACCTCTGCTATCCCTTCTGCCCTAACTCCCTGGCAGACAGTGCTGTTCCTGGGGGAGAATCACTCTCATCCTTCTCACTTCCCACTTTCCTGCTGCCCGGGGTAGTGTTCCCTGCCTGCACCCCTCTCCACACTGCACAAGACCTGCTCAGACGTAGCTCCTACATGGCCTGTGATGGACACATGGTAGATATCAGACAATCTGTTCTTACACAGCAGCATGGCATGTGCACATATTCAAATCCATTCTCATTTCTCTCTCATGTGTGCCATGTATATGTGTGCTCTGATTTAAGCCTGTTCTGTGTCATAACAGAGCTGGAGCCCAGAGACGGAACAAGTGGTCAGAGAGCTCACATAAGTTTACTTATGACTTTGGGGGTTCATTGAATGCTTTGGGGTTCCAGTTTCTATCTCTCTCCTTACCCTTATCTCTTCCATCCTTAATTTTTTTAGACAAATTGTCACTACATACCCTACCAGGCTGGCCTAGAACTCACTATATAACCCAGGCTAACTTGAGAGCTGAACTCTCAGTCTCCCTTCTCAGGCTCCCTCAGTGCTGGCAGTGCAGGGATTTACCACCACATCTGTTGCTGGCTGTCAGTTTAATACATAAAAAGGCTTCAAATGAAAGGCCCAGTGGGAGATGTTTTGACTAGCAGCACACATGAGCTCCTAGGTTCAATCCTCAGTACCAGCAAAAAAAAAAAAAAAAAAAAAAAAAAAAAGAGGAGGAAGAGGAAGAAAGGAGGAGGAGGAAGAAGAAAAAGAAGAAAAAAGCGCTCAACTGAAAGGACTCTCTAGCTGTGCACCTATCTCTGACCCAGATACCATTTCTACCATCTTTCTTACTGTAATTAGAAAAGAACCCAGTGAATTAACAGCTGCCCTCTTTTATCATTAACTGTGATTCAAACAACCCCCCCCCAACCAGGTTACATTTATAAGCTCTATCAGAAGGGAAAGAACTGTAAATAGGTAAAGGATGGGCATAGGATCTATACCAGAAGCACACTTCCAGTCATCATGAGAACATGACATACTCTGGTAAAAACCTATGTGAATTTAGCTGAGGCTGCTTAAAGATTTTTTTAAAATTTGAAAAACCAAGGCAAGGCAATCATATACTTTGCCTTGGCCCAGAGAACTGACTTTCTCTTCAAGCTAACATGGGATTACATACCTGTGCTACTGGCTACTGGCACTGCAGTGGTGAAATACACCTGCTCCACTTTAGATGCTTGCTGCTGGAGAGGACAAAACAAAACAAAATCACTCTTATGCCCCCCTAACATGGCAGCCATCCAGGGACCTGAAGCCTCCCCAATTGTAATGGTCATCCAAGGGGATAGAAAACCCTCAGAGTTTGGGCACTTCTGCACTGAGATGTTTTCTTTGTGCTCTGATGATGTCACTGCACTGTTGGGACATGCTATGCTGACATTGTAGCTTTGTCGCCACTCAATGGCTAGCTCCCAGCTGCCTAGTCCAGTGGGTTGTATATTCAAAGGCTTCTCCAAGCTTGTTCTTCTGAAGTAATGGTCCCTCAGAGACTAGCTTTCCTCACTCCAATGGTCCTGTGAATTGTTAAGTTCCTTTCTTGCCCTCAGGGACTAAGCTGACAACTCAAGACAAGCTAAAGCTTCTCCTAATGGCACAAAGCACTGCAGGAGCCTTGGGCAGCACAGGATAGCTTGCACGGAAAGCTGTGGATTTACCTACACAGATTCATGTCCTGGCTCTGTCACCCGTTAGGCAAGTGATTGAACTTTCTGGTTTTGTTTTATTTTATGAGGAAAGGCTCACCAAGTAGCCCAGGCTAGCCCTGAACTTGTGATCCTCCTGAGTCTACCTTCTATGCTGAGAATGTGGCCAAGTGGCTTAATTTCCTGGAGTCTCAGATTCCTATAAAAGTTGAGATAACTGAAGCCACCCTCAAAGGACTCTGAAGAGTAATGAGGTGGTATATGTAGAACACTATGCTCACAGTGAACAGTTAGTAAACATGGTATTTTGTCCTGTTATTAAGGAAGACTATAAAATTGTGCACAGGCACATACCTGTAGTCTAGCACTCAGGAGCTAAGGCTAGGCTTGGCTGTATACATTGTGAGTTCGAGGCCAGTCCGTATGCATAATACTCTGTCTCAAAATAAAAACAAAATCCTGTGCATAATACCTTTATCCCTCTAGTAACTTCCTATTAAAGAGTATTCTTCAAGTCTTGTCTTAAAGATACTTTTTTTTTAAATCTTTCTTTTTTTAAAAATGGGCCTCAAGGTTAAGTCTGAGAAGAATTATGTTTCTGGCTAAGAAATAAATGGAACTATAAAATGATGGAGGCCAAGGAGTGTAGCTAAGTAGTAGAGCTCTTATAGGTTCAATCCTAACATGGGGATAAAAAAAAAAAAAAATGAGTGCCCCTCTCTTGTCCCTTTTTTTTTTCTTTTGATCTTTTTGAGACAGGTTCTCCCTGAAGCCCCAACTGGCCTAGAACTCACTATGTAGACCAGGCTGGCCTCAATCTCACAGAGATCTGTCTGTCTCTGCCTCTCGAGTGCTGGGATTAAAGGCATGCACCACCATGCCTGGCTTTTTTGTTCTCATTTTGAAAGAGAATCTGGCTACATAGCCCAGGCCAACCTTGAGCTTTAAAAAAATTTTCATTTATTATTTTTATTTTATGTGCATGAGTGTTTTGCCTGCATGTGTATAAGTGCACTGTGTGCACGCAATGCCCTCAGAGACCAGAAGAGGGTGTGAGATCCCCTAGAACTGCAGTTATGCAGTTGACTCACATGCACAGCTCCCCCTCTTATTATCGCTATTTTATTTTTGGTGCTGAGGATGGAGCCCAGGGTCTCTGTGGCATGTGTTCTACCACTGGCAGATGTCCTGGATCCACCATTACAATATCCAGAACAGCTCCCCCTATTTTGCACTTATCTGTCCCCTCTCCCTCTTTCCTCTCTCATTGAAATCACTGAATTTTTTTCACTGCTTTATTTATGTATCTCATGTCACACACATAATTACCTGCTCCCTTTTTCTTCCAAGTGCTAATGATTGAACCCATTGGTCTTGTTGCTGATAGGCAAGTACTTTACCTCTGAACTAAATCCCCAGCCCTTAACCAAGCACATAATTACAACAATCCTAGGAGGTAGGCGTGGTTTTCTCTATGGAGAGCTGAGGTCCAGATCAGTTAAGAGACTAACCAAAGGTTATATAGCCCAAATAGGGCAAAGCTAAGATCTGAGCATAGGCAGGCTGTCCCCAGAGCTGTGCTGCACATGAGAAAAGGGTTCAGAGACTAAGAGGCTGGTTGGATGGCCACATAGTCAAGTTGACCTTGAGCAGTGGGTAGGAAGTAGATAATGCAAAGCTGGTACTACATAGGCATGTTGATTGGTGGATTTAAACAGTCTAGAAAGGTGATTTAGGACTAAATAGCAAGAACACTCAGATTCCAGAATTGGCATTGTGGCCACTTGTGGAGTAGGCTATATGGCTAGGGTCACTGGAAAGGCCTTCCCAGTATTCTGTCTCCATCTGCCCCCAGAGAGATTTTACTGTTTCCCTGTACTTGCATTTGAAGAGCTCCTGGAACAAATGTCATTTCATTTCCATGTAATTTATCTGCATGTATTTAAATATGAGCCTCAGCCAAATGTGGCACATGCCTGTAATCCCAGTGCTCAGGATGTACGGGCAGGAGGATTAAGAGTTCAAGGTTGGGGCTGGAGAGATGGCTCAGTGGTTAAGAACACTTAATGTTCTTCCAGAGGACCTAGGTTCAATTCCCAGCACCGATATGCAGCTAACATTTTAAGCCGGAAGTGGTGGTGCACATCTTTAATCCCAGCACTCAGGAAGCAGAGGCAGGCAGATCTCTGTGAGCTCAAGGCCAGCCTGGGCTACATAGTGAGTTCCAGGACAGCTAGGGCTATAGGGAGACCCTGTCTCAAAAAGACCAAAAAAAAATGTATTATTTTATACATATGAGTGTTATGCAATGCCCGAAGACAAAAGAAGAGGCCGTCGGATCCCCTGGAACTGGAGTTACAGACAGTTGTTAGCTGCCATGTGGGTGCAGGAATGGAGACAGGGTCTCCCTGCAGTCCTAGCTGGCCTCGATCTCACAGAGATATGCTTGAGTGCTGGGATTAAAGGCTGCGCCACCAAGCTTGGCCCAGATCCTCAATTTTTAAAAAAAAATATTTTTATATTTTATGTGTATAAGTGTTTTGCCTGCCTATAAGTCAGTGCACCCATGTCGTGAAATGCTGCAGAGGTCAGAAGAGGACATCAGATTCCAGTGGAACTGGAGGACGGTTTGTAGCCGCCATGTGGGTGCTGGGAATCGAACCCAGGTCCTCTGCAAGAGCAGTCAGTGCTCTTAACCGCTGAGCCATCTCTCCAGCCCCTAGATCCTCAATTTTAAGATGCATTTAGCCAGGATGGTGGATTCCTGTGCTCTCAGTTGATCAGGAGGCTGAAACTGGAGGAGCATTTGAGCCCAAGAGTTTGAAAAAAAACCTAAGCAACACAATGAGACCGTGTATCAAAAAACTAAGAGGGCTGGGCAAGATGGCTTTGCTGGTAAAGGTGCTTGTTGCCAAGACCGACGACTTAAGTTGAATCCCTGGGTCCATGTGGTGGAAGAGACAGACTCCCACAAGTTGTCCTCTGACTGCCACATGTGGAGCCATGGTATGAGCGCCACCATTCCCCAGAAATAGTTAAAAATCCCCCAAACCTAAGCAAGTGCTTAGCACAGTAAACCCTTTCCCATTTAGGAAAGAGCTCAAAACAATAAGGGAGTTTTGTTTGCTTTTTATATTGCTGCTGCTATTTGGCATTTAACCTACTGGGGTATTAACTTTCTTTAGGTATGTTAGCCTCTAAACTGAATATAAGTCTCTATGAAAAACAAATCAAGCTTTTTGTTTCTCTGCATCCTCCAGTGTAGAATCTAGCAAATACTAGGCTCAAAAGGACATGGATGGCCATGTCATTTCCAGATACCAAGACCAAATATATCCTTAGAAAATTATCTTTATGGAGCCGGATATGGTGGCTCATACCTTTAATCCCAGCACTCGGGAGGCAGAGGCAGGATCTCTGTGAGTTCAAGGCCAGCCTGGTCTACATAATGAGTTCCAGGCCATCAGCTGGGGCTATAGGGAGATCCTGTATCAGAAAAAAAAAGAACAGAAGGAAGAAAATTATCTTTATGGGCTAGAGAGATGGCTCAATGGTTATGAGCACTGGCTGCTCTTGCAGAGGACCCGGGTTCGAATCCCAGCACCCACATGGCAGCTAACAACCACCTGTAACTCCAGTTCTAGAGGAATCCAGTGCCCTCTTCTGATCTCTGTAGGCATTCTACAACACACATGCAAGCATAACACTTATACACATAAAATAGATTAATTTAAAATAAAAGAAAATCATTATAAGGTCCAGGGCAGTGCTTCCATGGTATAGTACTTGCCTAGTATATATGTGCAAGGAACGAGGTTTGGTCCCTTGTGCTTCAAAAAGAAAGTAAAAGAAGATGGCTATAGGCTAGGCTCTGGGAACAGATTACTTCTCTGCCCTGGCCACTGCTATACATCTGAGTCACATCAGTCCCTCACACCAGTCTGACTCTGCTCTCATGAAATATCCTTGGGCTTCTGGAGTTTGTTCACTGCTGTCATATATGGAAGTGTCCAACCTACTGCCATTGCAGGATGATGCTGTGGTCTGCTGATGTTTGGCCACATTTGTCCCCTTATCAGGTACCAGACTCACTCCCCTGGATTTATAGCACTTGACTATGGGGAAATGGCTACAAGGGACATTACATGTTTCAGAGCAGTTATGCTAGCCATTTTCCCATTGAGGGGTGGGGCTGTAGATCAGTGGTAGAGCACTAGCCTATATGTGTGAATCCCTAGGTTCAATCAATCCCCAGTAATTCGAGAAAAGGGAGGAAGGAAATGGACATATCACCTATACACACTTCACCCACTGTTATGTGCTTACTTGTAATACTTACAATTTGTTCTTGGTTTTGTGGTGAACTTGTGGCACCATTTAATATCCACTGTAAGTTCTGTTCTCCCATGACTAGGCTGGACTGCAGGATAGCCGTGTTGGGAGTTGGGGTGATGGTTATAGTGGGATTATTAGTTAGGACAGAGTTGGCACCCAGGGGTAGAGTCTGGACCATGGCAGGCAGGGGCTCAGTAGTACTTGGTGGTGGGACTGGTGCTGCCACAGCTGATGTAGGAGCCCCAGAAACAACGGAAAGTCCTGGTACGATGGTCTGGGGTGCCTGGGGGTGCGGAAGAAACTCTTGGTGATGAGCAGCGAACTGCGTGCTGTGGGGAACAGGCACTTCTGGAGGTTGTAAGAGAGCAGGGGGGCTGCCAAACGCAGATGGCTGGGGACCAGGTCCTAGAGAGGGAGCAGGAAGAGGAGCGGACGGGGCTGAAGCTGGTAGCAGAGGCTGGGGTGGCTCTGAGATGCCAGGCTGCAGTACAAGTGGAAGAGATAAAGACGCCGAATTTCCTGCAGGTGGCGGAACATCACTGACTGACTCTGCATCACCATTAAAACTTTCAATCAAGGCAGCTGGCAAGAAAAAGAAATAGAAACATATATCCATATCTCAAGCTTCATATGCAACAAACAGTCTTTATGGGCCAATTCCTTCAGTGAGGCAGCTGGCTTTCTGTTTTCATTTAGTGACACCTCAGGTCCAAGAACCAGGTTTTCTGACCAAGCACACTTCATAAAAATGGTGACTTTAGCTGGGCATGGTGGTGCACGCCTGTAGTCCCAGCACTCAGGAGGCAGAGGCAGGCAGATAGCTGTGAGTTCAAGGCCAGCCTGGTTTACATAGTGAGTTCCAGGCCAGCTAGGGCTACAGGGAGACCCTGTCTCTGTCTCTGTCTCTGTCTCTCTCTCTCCCTCTCTCTCTCTCTCTCTCTCTCTCTCTCTCTCTCTCTC